TTTTTAGAGCGAGTACGTTGTAACGCCGTTTATTTTGTACGCTCTCCTGAAATGCGGGCTCATTTGTTTCTTCTTGACACAACTGCAGGGTCGTATGGAATATCTGGTGAAATGGAAAGGCTGGTCTCAGAAGTAAGTAGACCTCAGTGCAGTCTAATGTAGATTGGTAGCAAAAATTGCAGTAGGACTGGAGATAATGCTTTGTTGAGTAGACAGAGGGACACTATTTCCCCCCCCCCTCCAGAAAGCTTACCTTCCACTGCTGTGTTTTGGAAGATGAGGGGGAAATTATTTTCTTTTTCTTTCTCTTTTTTCCCCTCCCTCTCTGTTTGACTTTCTTTTACTTTTTCCTAGGTACAGCACCTGGGAACCAGAGGAAAACATTCTAGATGCCCGCCTGCTGGCTGCTTTTGAGGAAAGGTATGTCTGTTTGAGGAAACCTACATCTTTATTAGAGCCATAACACTGTGTTTCAGAGCACCATTAAACCATTCTGTGTCCTTACCATGCCTGCATTTATTTTTTTCTTAAAAACCACATTTAGGGAAAGAGAAATGGAACTTTATGGTCCTAAGAAACGTGGCCCCAAACCCAAAACCTTCCTTTTAAAGGTAAGAAAGACAAGTACAAAGAGCCATGGTTTTTTTTTCTTTGAGTTTCTGCTGTGATCATAATAGAAAATGCAACTTCTTTTTCTTAATTAAAAGGCCACATTTTGAAGAACCAGCTTCTTTTCTGCTCTGTCTCTGGGTTGTGTGTGTGGATGTGTGTGTGTTTGAGTGCGGGGAGGGGGCTCACTCTGCCTTTAAGCTGTGTTGACAACATTGTTGGAGCACAGGACTAAAGAAGTGTAGTTGCTTTCACTCTTTTACAGGCCCAGGCCAAAGCCAAAGCCAAAACATATGAATTCCGTAGTGACTCTGCTAGGGGCCTCCGGGTACCTTATCCTGGACGATCTCCCCAGGAACTCAGCTCTACTTCCCGGGCTAGAGAAGGACTGAGACAAATTCCGCTGCCTCCTCAAAGCAGCCCCACCACCTCTATCCCCAATATGCCTCGAATGGAGCCCATCCAGGAAAACAGGGTTGGGGCAGAGGAAGACCGATCTGAAGGCGCCTTTAAAAAGCGAGGTCCAAAGCCCAGGAAAGACCTACCTGAAATGGCAGAGGTTGCCTCAAAGCGGAAATCAATGGAGCCTGGCGACAAGATGGTGGTGGACTACCTAAAAGCCAGAAAATTGGAAGAGGCAGCAAACTCTGGGACAGCAAAATTCAGTTCAGGACACAGTGTTATCCAGTTAGCCAGGAGACGGGAGCCTGAGTTACCCAGTGCTGTTCCCAACCCAAGGGCAGAAGCTGGCATGAAGCTGGGTGCACCTGAGACTTACCCTCCTAGACTGACCAAGCACAGGGCGGATTTCCTGGATTCCAAAGGGCAAAGTGGTTTGGACTTGGGGGCTTCTAAGATCTTGCACAGCTCTGCAAACCAAGGCAGCTTATATCGAGATGGCCTAGGGACGCAGGCTGGCAGGCCTTCCCTCATCGCCCGCATCCCTGTCTCCCGGATCCTGGGTGACCCAGAAGAAGAACCTTGGAGCCCATCTCTCAACAATTTGGAGAAAGTAGTAGTGACTGATGTGACATCCAATTTTTTGACAGTAACCATCAAGGAGAGCAGCACAGACCAAGGGTTCTTTAAAGAAAAGCGGTGAATTCCTCCAGAGAAGAAAAGTCATTGAAAAGCTTTGGATAGAGGTCGGCTGAATTGGGATTTTTTTTTTAAACTTTTATTTTTAAACTTTTTTTGGACAGGCTTGCTTTTCAAATATCTGTCCTTAATTCTGTTCTTTATCTCTCCCTCCCCACCCCAACCTTGCCACCTTGCCACCAATTTCAGTTTTGTTTGGAAAAATTATCTCTAGAGTTATATTTTCTATTAGATGTAAATATGTTATTTAAAGAAAAATACATATATATATATCTATATACATACATATAAATATATATATTTCAACTCTTAAGTTGTTTGTTGCTTTTTTTTTTAATTTAAGGCCTTTGAAGAAGGATATTAAAACAGAAAAGTGATGCATCTCTTGCCTCAACTGCAAGAGCTGGTGTAGATAATGAATGATCCTGTTAGTCAATCATAATACTTTGATTTAATTTTCCCCCCCAATTATTTCTCCCTTCCTTCCCACAAATACGTTGACTGAAAATATGGAGATATTATATTCATCTGGGGACTGAAAAAGCTCCAGGTTTTTTTTTTTTAATTGCTATACTATAAGGTGTTGCTTTGTACAATCAAGTGTGCTGTATACACAACTGTTCTGGCTGGACAGCTGAAGTAAGCACTTGACTTTACAGTATTGTCTTGCTTTGTTTTGCTCCAGTTGAAAAAAAAAAGTTGTTGTTCTAAAAAGTGTCCATTAAAAAACAGTTGAAATATGTTTTAGCAAAGAAGTATTAACTTGAATACCTTTTCTTGCAAGGGAGAAGGGGATGTGTAAGATTTTTTTTTAAAGTGTAGCTGCTGTTATGCACTTTAATATGACTGTCATAGAGGGAAAGTGGGAGTAGTAGAGGAAATTGAGCTGATAGTTTTAATTTTGATTTTTTTCCCCCTCCTGATCTTTTCCTTGCTCACTCCAATAAGAAAATCTGTTTACATTCCTTACATGCCAGAAAGTTGGGAGGGAAGCATCTGACTGGTCATATTCTCAGTGTTCCTGCTGTTATTTTGAAAGTAGATTTTCCAGCTTCCCCCAGTGTTTGTAGCTCATTTATAGGCTATTAGATTAAGGTGTGGCATAAAATCATTATGTTCTTCATTACATTCTCAATTTCTGATGAAGGATGATACATTGACAACTTCCCATGTAATGGAGTTGGGAAAGATCAGTTTCAGAGTGAGCTGTTTTTATAGCTGAATTTCTTTCATTTTTTTTTAGAAAGAAGCATCTGTTCTGATCCCCCTCCCCCTCCCCCAGTTTCTAAGCCAAGTGATTAAAAAAATGCTTGTCCACTTTAAGCAAACATTTAAACCATTTTTCTGCTCCCTTGAAGATGAACTCTGCTTAACTTTTCAAGAAAGGGGTTTGGTTGTGCTTTATTCTGTAAAGCTCCTGATTAAGAGGGAACCTGCAGAGGAAATTGGGGGAAGGGTCTTTTCCTTGGCTTTTAGCAGGTGCTGGGGTATTCCAATAGATATTGATTTAAGCATCTTTTGTTGGTTCAAAAAGCACAAATCTGCCTCACAGCCCCTAAGGGCCTAGCAAGGGGATGTGTTGACTTCTCTGTTCTTTTTCTGAATGGCTGATTCACTGGGCCCTTTTAACACACTTTCTAATTGGAGGAGTGAACAGGGCATGAAACTCTATGTGTGGCCTAATGAGAAAAGACCCTGAGAAAATCAGGTGAATGTTGCAAGAAGCAGAAAAGCCCAGGTCATTTCTGGGCTCTGCTAGAAATAATGTTTCTTTGCCCACCTATCTCCTCCTGCTTATTGGAGGTGGGATTTCTCCCAACAAAATCAATATGGGCATTTTCTTTAGATTATGCTGAAGAAGTAAGCCAGCTTCATTTTTGTTTCTCTTCTCTTCTCCCTCCCTTTCTTATTTAAAGGAAAACTGATATTTTAAATTCCAGTCAGCTCAAAGCATTTATGTAGCTCTGCAAATCTGTTGAGTTCAACCAGGGGTGAGGAAGCAGGTCAGCATATGTGTCTGTTGACAGTGATTCCATATAGTTTAGAGCTGGAGTGGGGAAGAGGGGAGAGTGCCTAGGAGGTATATTTCCTGGGTAGAAACAATCTTAAGTGCTCTCTCTACTTCCTTGGGTGTCAAAGGTGGTATATGCCCCCTGTGATGTGGGTTTCTAGAGGCACACACATGGGTATATAAAAGCTAGACCGACATGTGAGTGTATCTGTCTATGTACATAGTTACATTTATTGAATGTATGTGGGTGTGAGTTATTTAATTCTCTTTTAAGATTTGTAAAAGGAAAAACAAACATTATTGAACTGGCCTCACAGTCTCATAAGTGAAGCTTAAGTAGGTGTCTTCTGCAAATGTGGAATGTTTAATACAGTACCTGCTTTTTTGTGAATTGAAATATATATAATTCTTTGTAAATAGAGACTTGGCTTTGTTTCTTTTGTTGCTCTCTGAGGTAAAAGACTCCTCGTGATTCACAGTTCTGGGGGGTCACCCTATCTTGCTCTGCTAAGAGGCTTGTGGGAAAAGAGCACATAGCTGCATCCAACAGTTCCTCTGATCTGAAGCTGGGCCCATTTCCCGAGTGAGGTGCTAAAATTGGGGAAAGATGGTGCTACCCCCTTGCCCTAACCAGCTGCTCAACACACAACCGAAAGGGGAGCCTTTTTGAGGCACTTCATGCTTGACCAAAATTCTGGTAGTGTAGACCAGGAATCTGACCTTGATAGCTCTCCTACTGGATGGCTGAGAAACTGAAATAAAGAACCCTTCCCTGGGAATATCATTATGTTGCTGGCCTCTATCATTTTTGCCTAATAATGGATGTCCTTGGGCTCCAAGCTTCTTTCTCTTGGGGCATTCATCAAATGAGGTCCTAAGTAGTTGAAGCTTATAAGGGGGAGCAGTATCTATCACCAAGTTATGAATGGAAGCTGGATCTAAACAAGCGTAATCTGGTGGCTCAGTGGTTAGAATGCAGTACTGCAGGCTAACTCTACACACAGCCTGGAGTTTGATCCTGGTGGGCTCAAAGTTGACTCACCCTTCCATCCTTCCGAGTTCGGTAAAATGAGGACCCAGATTGTTGGGGGCCAGAGGCTGATTCGGTAAACAGCTTAGAGAGGGCTGTAAAGCACTGTGAAGTGGTGTATAAGTCTAAGCGCTATTGCTATTGCAGTTACTCTAATTGAGCATGAATCAATCTATTTTCAGATGGTTAATTAGTTTTACAATGTTGCTAATCTGAGTGGGAGGCCAGCCCTGCCCAGGACGTTACAGAAATTCAGTTACTCCTATTGTCTTCAAGTGAACTCAACAGCCTTTGTATCTTTTACCTGGGAAATAATTAGTAAAACAATTTAATAGGACTACCCAAGCAGAGGGTTGTCAGGCTCCTTAAGGAATTGCGATGATCCAGAACCCCAAATTTCACTAATAAAAGCCATAAAGGCTGTAAAGCAAAGGGCCTTTTATGGCTTCGATTCCATGTCTTCCTTTGCGATCTTTGAGATCAAACTAAAAGGCCAGGAGAGGAAAACAGGCAGATTTGAATTTAACTCAAATAAAACACAGGGCTCCTTTCCCCTTTTCGGTTGGGCCCGCAGAGTTAGCCTACCCGCGGCTTCTTTGTGATCAGAAATCCTAATCCCGGAGAGAAATTCTTGGAAGTGTCAACAACGAAAGCCACGTTTCATGGTTTTTTTAAACGTAGCCTTCCGTCTTTCTCCTCTAGCTTTAACACCTTTACGAATATAACCCTTTGGAAGTAATAATTTGCCGCGGCCTTCGTGGCCACGCACTTTCTCAGGTCTTGGCAGTTTGGCGTTGCGTGGCAGCGCGGAGAGTTTGGAGATCCGTAAAAGTGGCGAGTCCGGGAAGGCTGCGAGACCCAGAAGCGACGGAGGCGTTCTGGGAGACAAGCTAGCGCGCCCGCGCCCTTCGTGGGAAGAGGGGGACCATATAGGGCGCCTGGGTGATCTGTGGCGGGCTGTGGAGGTGGTAGGTGGCCCAGTGGGCAGGGCGGAGCGGGACGGGGGTGGGGGGCAGTTTTGGGGCACTCGGTCTCTAAAAGGTTCGCCATCACTGCACTATTGGAAGACCTAAAAGGCCACATTGGGGAAGATCCTCCTGGGAAAAAAAATCTATATTATTGCTAAGAGTCAACAATGACTTGATGTCATATCGTCAATGCTGGAAAAGGTGGAAGGAAAGAGAAGGGGACAACCAGCAGCCACATATAGGGCGCCCCGCGATTAGAAACAATGCCAATCCTTGACCCGAAAGGGGGCTGAGCGGCTGGTTTCGCACAACCGCTAAGCTTGGCTCTAAAAGACGGGTTTGCGGGTCATAATCCCTGATTTAAGGTTCGTCTGGCACGCCCCCCCAAACACAATTCGGGTAGAAACCGAAAGGTCGAGTTCACGCAAAGTGCCAAGGCCAGGGCATGCCCACCAGAAAGGGAAGCCCAAGCTCCATTTCAACTGACCCTAAGGCGCAACTCACCCTAGTCTCAGAGGCCAAGTACTTTCTTTGCGTGGCCCTCCCAGGCGCCAGGAGAAGAGTCAGTGGGGCACATTATCTTAATCTGGAGTAAATCAGGTTCAACCGCAGCTAGTTGACTACAGGAGTGGAAACAGCGACCGCCACCGCCTTCCCAACGTGGGCCACGGACTTCCCAGGGTAAAGGTGGGTCTTAACGATTCAATCGCGGCACCGCCATCGATTTAGTCCCCGGCTCAACGAATACCGCGGAAGGCCGTCAACGTGGACTAGCAAGCATCAAGACTCCTCCCCATTTATTGCAAAGGGACTCTCCGCACCCCACGCGGGAAATTTGACTTTTAACTCCTTGTTGCCGCCCCTGCTCCAGCCGGGGATCCTAAAGATCGACCCCCAGCGAATCTCTTTTCTCTCGTTAACACGCCAAGGAGGAGGGCAAGGCGTCGGGTCTGTGGTGGGGAGGCAGATTTTCTTTCTTTCTTTCTTTCTTTCTTTCTTTCTTTCTTTCTTTCTTTCTTTCTTTCTTTCTTTCTTTCTTTCTTTCTTTCTTTCTTTCTTTCTTTCTTTCTTTCTTTCTTCCTTCCTTCCTTTCTTTCCG